CCAGTGGCACATCTCTGCCTGACTCAGAGACGGTATTAATTATGCTGCCAAGTGAGGCCACACTCCAGGAGTCTGTCTCCAGGTCCTCAAGGGGTTCGGCCGCCGTCCGAGAGTGATGCTGTAGAAAGAGGGCACTGGGCGACTCGTGAGGGGTCCGAGGTGGCCGCCCGCTGACACAGACGCTCACAGCCGGGCCCATCGGGTGCCCTGTGGTCCTGGGCCCCGAGACAGGGAGGCTGCCCTGACTGGGACGCCTTGGGCGGGGAGCAGAGGTGAGGGTGGCGCCTGGGGTCCTGGCCCCGCTGTCCCACGGCCCGGCCAGCCTCCCCAGCCTTGCCTCTGGTGAGGGACAAGTCACACGGTGCCTGGGCTTCTTCTCCCTGATGTGGAGACCATAACCAGGCCTGCGGAAGCCGTGTGGGTCTGGGGGAGGGACCTGCCCAGGGACGCCTTCTGCTTAGCGAGGGACCCTGTCTCCTGCCTCCCTGCCTCTTCTCATCTGGTGGAGAGGAAAGGACACCGGTGTGGGGCGACCGGGCTTAAAGCACCCCGCATCTTGCACCACCCAGGTGCTGAGGCCAAAGCAGCCCCTGTGCGCACTGAGCCTCCCACTTGAGCATCCCGAGTGTGGCCCCCAAGCAGAGAGGATCAGCGCCCCAGAAGCAGAGCGCGTCGCGGTCCAGGGGCACCCTGAGGCCGAGGTCCCAGTGCGGCTCTGTGGCGAAATGGCTTTTCACCAGCACCACGCACCCAAGTCCAGCTCTGTCTCCCATCCACGGCGGAGACAGCCGTGCTGGGGATGGTGAAGCCCTGTGAACTGTGGACATGGGGTCCCTGTGCCCTCTGGGTCCCGAGGAGGGACTGGAGCCGAGACAGGAAAGGCACCAGTGTCCTCGACTCCCGGTGCTGGGACACAGGCGCCACTGTCACCTGTAGAGGTGGGGTCCACATCTTGGCAGGGCTGAGCCTGTGTGGCAGCCGCAGTAAAAACAGCTAACGGTGGGGCTCCACTCCCCTGGCTCCCCGGGAACAGCGTTGTGAAGTTGGCGATCAACCCAACAGCTCCCGCCATCGTGGGGGTCCAGGACTTCTTGGAGGATGCACAGTGGATACCGCTTTGATATGTGCGACGCAGCGGCCTGACTTTGCAGAGCCCACCTGTGATCCAGCACTCGATTTCTGGACGAAGGCACCTAGCCCAACGCTCCAGGAGCTCCATTCAGCACGGCAGCAGGGCGGCCCGGCGGCCATCTGGGACCTGCAGGGCTCGGCTGCCACACTTTCTACCTGGCTTCTGTGTGCCTGACGGGGCCTCCGGGCGCACAGCTCCCCCGGGAGGCTGTCCAGGCACGGAGCTGGGTGCTCACTGCAGGGTCCCCCATCAGCCCTGCTCCTGCACGAGCCTCTGCCCAGGTTCCCGCGGGCCTCACACCCAGGAGCAGTGCTGCACCCTTGGTCACGCCTGGGCCTCTCCGGTAGAGATCCTGGTTTAAGCCTAAGTGACCCAGGAGGTCATTTCCGGTTACCCCTCAGCTCCACTGGATCCCAAGAGCCCCCGGGTGTGCAGCGCCTCACAGCCCCTCCCTGAGGCCTTCTGTCTGGTCCGTGCCAAGCCCTCCTTGCCACAGTGGGAGACCACAGCCCAGTGGAACATGCCTCCGCTCCCGACATTGTCCCGACTCCTGGTATTTTTGAAAGAAGAAAATTATTGTTACAAGAGTATTAGGTTTTCCATATAAAAAACTCTAAGTGAGGTCTATAAAATGCAAGGTGAAGGTAAAATCCTCTCACTGGCTCTTACTCCCCTCAGAGAGCAAATGTTCATTGATACAGAACATTAAAAGTAAAAGTGGAGTCATGCTTGATAGACTACCGCAGTCTATTTTTCATTTAAAACTCTCACATAACTTTGCTTGAATGTAAAGTTTAGAACAGGAAATGGGTCCTTGGCCCCAGAGTGGGCCTCAGGAGTTCCATGGAGTGCACAGGTCCGTGCTTTATGGGATTCACGGCATTCTGTCTTAGAGGGCTCCATCACCCCAAGTGTGCGAGCAAGGATCCCAGCCTCGGGTTCCCAGCGCCGGCTGGGATGCAGAGTGAGGCCCAGAGCAGGCGCGGCCGGAGTTTGAGCACCTTCAGGCCTGGCTGCCTTGAGCCAAAAGCATTCAAAGCGGACCTGGACAAATCTCTGGGCGGAGCCCCCGCGCTCTTCCGGTAGCTCTTCGCCCTGCTTCGCCCAGCTTCGCCCTGCTTCGCCCTGCATCGCCTTGCATCCACGCCGGCGGAGGGCCAGACAGCAGCAGGCTGCCCCGACTCGACTCAGGCAGGACACGGAGCTCAGTCTGTGCTGCAAAGCAGTTTCCAGATCTTTGCTGCTCCCAAGCTCAAGAAAGTTAGCGGCTCATTCCTCGGGGGGGCTCCCAGCGCCGCCACGTCCCTCCTGCGTCACAGCAGAAGCGGCCTGCTGACCTGTCTCCCCGCAGGCGTCTCCACCGCACGGCGGTGCCAGCCCTGTCCTGGTGCTGGTGTCGCTGTGTCCTCGCCCGCCCAGAGGCAAACAGCACCTAAGCAAAGCTGTGCGGAGTGCAGGGCGCCGCCCCGCTCCCCGGGTCAGACTCAGTTGCCCAGAGCTGGGCTGCCCAGCCTCAGCCTGGGGCTGAAAGGGCCAGGAAGTCCGCCCGGGCCTGACGACTCAGCTCGGACTGTGAAGGGGTAGCCACGCCCAGCCTCTCCCTGTCCCATCGGTCGGGATTTTGGGCTGGGAGAATGCTGCCTTTTATGTTTAACCTGTCCCAGGCTGCCCACGGTGAAGACGTCGCTCTGCCCCGGGGCCAGGGGTTGAGCAGGATACGAAGCAGCTGCTGCTCCCAGCCCTGGCGCTCTTCCCACGGCAGGCGGAGCTGGGTGAGGCGGCCAAGGCTCCGAGACGCCCGGCCGCCCGGTGCTGGGACCCATAAATCCCAGGCCAGTATTTGATCCCACAGGGGACTGCGGCTCCGGGGTGGACGGCTGTCAGGGGCCTGCAGACAAACCGCAGCCAGGCCCCAGCCGCATCGTTAGTCACAGCGCAGAGCCTGCCCTGGCCAAGCGCGGGGCCAAGCCAGGCTGGCCTCAGCCGGCCCTGGGGACAGCGCGTCACTCTGCTTGGAATCCGGGCCGGGCTTCCACTTGGGGCAGACAGCAGGCAATCCAATGGGCCTCCCGCCTGTCTGGGTGGTGCCCACAGTGTGTGCAGGAGCCATCCTGAGGGCGTGCGGGACACACACAGGTGGTGGGCGCCATCCCTGGGACACAGAGCTCATCCCCGGTCACTCACAAGCCCCAAAAACCATGCTACCATGGCCTCGTTCCCCCTTCCCCTCATGGCCGCCCTCGTGCCTGGCCCCATGTGGGAGCTGGGGCACAGAAGCAGTGCCCCCCTTCCTGCTTCGGGAGACGGGAGCAGGACCCAGGAGGGAGGGCTGGAGTGCTGGGCCTCGGGGATGGGCGGTAGCCTCCCCCTGGGAGAGTGCCACAGGTGGAGGTGCTGCTGGTGATGGTGTAACTGAGCCCCTGCTGGTGGGCTCCCCGCCGTGAGGTCCCCACATTCGAGCAGATCTGCTTCCTGTCCCCATGAGGCTCACTTCCGGGACCCCGGTGTCCTCCTCTGGAGCAGTCCCTGGGGAGGTCACGGCCCATGCAGGGGCCATAGCCAGTGACAGCTGGCTTCCCCGGGGGGAGCCGGGCCACTGCCATGCGGTGAATCTGCCTTGGAAACCAGTGGCAATGAAATCTGCTGTCCCATTGCTGGGTTTTAGGTTGTCATCCGGCAGCCCTGTCACCTCTCAGAAATGCCAGGTCCCATCTCAGGTGCACAAGGCAGAGACACCTGTGAGCACCACAGCTTGACAGGTGTTTTTGTCTTGTTTTGTTTTGAGACAGGGTCTCACTATGTAGCCCAGGCTGGCCTTGAACTTATGATCCTTCTGCCTCAGCCTTCTGAGTGTGGGGTTCCAGGAGCACTGCCCATGTACCTGCTGGCTCTCCAAGCATGAGCAGCCCTGAACTCCTCCACCTCTGGCCAGGCCTGGTGATGTGGACACCTGCATGGTTCCGGAGAGTCCCTCTCCCTGGCCCACCAGTGTGGCCCCTTCCTGGTTGTGGGATCCCTGGTCAGCCGAGCGTCACCCTGTACCCAGACTGGGCCTGTGACAAGTGTGACGAGTGTCCAGCATGGGAGCCTCAGGAAGGTCTGCTGGGCAACCTTCTACAGGCACGGGAGAGGCCAGGGTGCCAGTGAGGCACAGACACAGTCGCCCTAGCACAAGACTGGAGTTGCTTCGTTTCTTGACGGGCCAGCTGCTCCTGGGATCCCCCGAGTGTGAGCTCTTGGTGACTCCAAAGGCCAAGCCTCCCATGGGGCCAAGGGGTGGGAGGGAGGCTGCCCTGGCTTCCAGGCACCTGGCCCGGACCCACACTGCTGGGTGCCATGGTGTTGCTTGGGGCCTCCTGCTCTTGCTTGGGCACCGACGCTCCTTCCCACAGGAGCTCTGGCTGAGTGAAGCATGGCCCACCAGGCCCGGGACTGGGCCTCGCCCTCCCTCTGCTCCATGCTGGGCATGCTGGGCACCATCCTGTTCTCATCTGCCCTGGGGAAGCCTGGTGACCCGAGTATTCTGCAAAGTGCTTCAGGCCCGCTTCTGCCCAGCCCCACACCCTGGCTGAGCGCAGTCACACAGAGTGATTCGCCTCGTGCAGCTGCACCCTGGGCTGCTCCTGGTGCAGCCCACGGTCTCTCCTCCTTCCTCCATGGACACTGCCTCCCTCTCCTCCCTTCTCTCCTGGCTGGGCTCTGCCACTGCTGGGAAGCCCTGGGATTCCGCCCCATCCACAGTTCACCTCTGTACTTTCCCGAAGCCTGGCTCCCACTTTTCCTGCCGCCTGCTGACTCCTCTCTCTCCCCACCCAACTGGAGACGCTGAAGAAACTCAAGCCAACATTCTGTCCAGCACTGTCGCGCAGAGAACCTGTCGCGTTTTATTTGTTGAGAGGACACGGGTGGGTGGAAAGGCTTTGGGGACCCCTGATTGTGCCGGCCACTCTCTGGAGAGACCGTGATAGGCTGGGTGATGCAGAGCCGGCCCCATCAAGCCCCTGAGGCCTAGCTGTCACCGTCCTTTTGTCATGGCTCCCGGGAGCCCCGCTGCTCTCCCTGGCACACAGGACTGCACCTTGGGCCCCAGAGGGGCTGCTTTGCTGCTTCCAATGCTGGCTGCTGTGACCCGGGCCCAGAAACATTTCCTGCGGATCGAATAACCAGCTCCTCCGAGCCCTCATCAATCTTCGGCCACTAAGCAACCCCTTGCTGCAGGACTAACTACCCGAACCCTAACCCCGGTCCCTGGCCAGGGGCAGCCTGAGTAATTTACTGTCCTCTCCAGTTCCCAGGGCTGTAACTCAGAGCGGCTCGGGTCCATCTGAGACAAAACAAAGAGATACTTTAGCTCATGGAGGGCTCCGAGAGGCACTGCACTTGTGGAATAAAACAATCATCCCAGATTGAAAGGGCTTCTCACCTACATTCCTTAGCCAGCTGAGAAACCTCCAGACCACTGCTGGTATCTTCAGGCCATGCGTAAGGACACACACTCAGAGAAGCGGACCCTGCTGCAGACTGTCTAGCAGAGGTGCAATGTTCCTCCTGATAACGACAATAACAGCCTGGTGATGGTTAGCGCTGCTGACTGTTTAGCATTAATGAGTACATGAATAATGTAACTTAATAATTGATTGCCAATTGCTTAGGCTGTTGATGAGTCACTTCTTGAGTGTTTCATGTGTGTCAGAGACCGGATCCAGGACTTTACATAATCTGATGAAGCGGGTTTGAAGATGGGCATCGGTTTTATGAGTTTGGTATCAAGGTCACATGGCCAGCAGGGACAGGGACATCACCCGAGATCGGTGTGGCAGCCAAATTTGTCCTGAGGGAATGGGCAGGGTCTGAGCCCAAACCCGAAGTGCCTGCAGATGTGTGCGCCACCCCGGGGCGGCCTGGCGCTTCCTGCTTCCCAGGACCAGGACCTTGGACTACAGAGGGTACAAACCCCGCTGGAGAGGACATGACCTGACTGTGCGGAGTCAGGCACTGACCTACAGTGATGGCAAGGCTGGGCCCTGGTCTCCTCCCTCCCTGCCTCTCTACGCACCCCGCCATTCGCCCTGTTTCTCGTGGACCCACAGGATGGCACGGTAACCAGGGTCGCGGCCACCGCTGCTCCAGGACCCGCCTCCCCGAGGGCGGAGCCCTGCAGACCCTGGTCGTCCTCAGTGCCCGCCCACCTCACTCCACTCCGGCAGGCCTCGCGGACAGTCGCATGCGAGAGCTCATGGTGCAGGTCTGTGCCTGAGCATGGCAGAGCCTCCTGCCTTACCCGCCACTTCCCAGTTCCACCCCATGCCCTCGGATGCCCACACTGCACCTGCCCGGGTACCCGCAGGCGACACTGGAACTGTCGTGGCCACGACTCATCTTACCTGACTGGCCTCCCGGGCACATCCGGGGAGCGTGTGGAATGGGACAGAAGAGCCCTCCGAGCTGCAGCGCTGTGCAAGGGGAGGGCGGGGAAGGGCGGGGGGGGGGCGC